CGACCTCACCCGACCCGACCTCACCCGACCCGACCTCACCCGACCCGACCTCACCCGACCCGATCTAACCCGACCCGGTATACACCTTCCGAGAGTACACAGCCTAAACGAAAATACATAGAAATGGTTCAAACCCCATTCGCCGCGTCTTTTAAAATGCAACAACATTGCCTCGGACACGAAACCTCTAGGTTTCCAATCGTTCGCATCATATGACCAAGAACAGAAGTCACTTCCAGAACGGAAGTCGATAGAAAGAAAATTCCGTCAGTTTTTCGCTGATCCTAACATGGCCTATCAAAAAATCAAAAAAATATCATGTATCCCTTCGATAACCAATAACCCTCTAAGTCCTACGGTTCGCTAGAAAAATGTCTACTTCCGGAACGAAAGTCGATAGAGTAGAATTCCAACGGATGAGCGCCGATATATTGACCCTACAGAGAGTCGAAAATATAAAAATCATGTGTCCCTTGGATTACCGATAATCCTCGCCTACTCTAACTTCTTTTTCGGCTGTTGTAAACAATCTATTTTTCCTCGCCCATGATTATACGCTTCAAGAACGAATTGTTTTCTTCGCGTTTGATGAGTTGATCGCAGACGCTCATGCGATTCGTCAGATGAATTTCTTTCAACTCATGCGATATCCAAACATCGAGCTTCTTTATGAAGTCTAGCAATTTCAAATGGCCATGTACATTTCCAACGGACACTTTTAGAGCGGTAGCAACCTCTCGTACCGTTGAATGCTTATTTGCTTGCATTTCTTTCATTTCATCGTCGTCAATCTTGGAAGACCTACCGGAGCGTCTTTGAATAAAAAATCACCATCATGGCATTGGGCGATCCAGTTCTGGCACTGACGTTTTTTTGACATTTTTGCCGTAAATTCGACGCAACTTTTTCCTTGCTTCAGTTGCTTTCTTCCCTTTTTTGAAATAATACAACTGAATATGGCAAATATGCTCTTCAAAATTCTCCTTGTTCGAACCTGAATGCATGCCCAAAATTCGACCGAATCGCGTCAACTTTTTTTTTGGTTTTTAGGTTGAGTTTGAACAACAAAACGCGCGTAAACATTTGACATTCATGTCACGCTCGCATACACATAAACTTGAACAATGCCATCTGTTGACAAACACGCAATATCTTTTTAACAATCCAATAGAAAAAAGGTATTGTATAAATTTATATATATATTTCTGTGAGCAATAACTTTCGGTTAATTGTCTATATTTGGAAATTATTTTATTTTAGTCTTTAGCATTGTTGCGCAGTTCGTTAAATGATACATTTATTAATCCCTTTTCTTGTTTCTTTTTTGTTGTTAATTAGCTTCGAATTGGAGAAAAGAAAATGAAAATAAATGGAAGTATGACTATTCTATTATAGATATTTTGTTATATTAATTAGTTATATATTTTCGTAATCATGACAATATTCCGTTTATTTAAGCAACTTTATTTTATCAGTGTAATGTTATGTTCACTAGAATGCACCAGCTTGGTAATTGTATGCGAGGCGCGATCTCTTAAAGCTAAATAATAGTAAGTTTGCGTTTATTTTATCGGTGGACGTTACAGGATCAGATCATATTGCCTACTTCACCAATTGGTTAATTTAAAATAATTTAATTGGTGAAGCAGTGCTACATTGGTGATGAAATTACTAGAAACGGAGCGATGTGAATGGTGTGTGCTATTAAACTGTGACAAGTGCATCACTTTCCTTTGAAATAGGTGAACATATCTACTTTGATTATACTTTAATGATCCATTTAAAACAAAATATTTAATGCTGTTGCCAGTTAGTTTAATTTTTTTCAAGATGCATTTTAACCACAAATATTATAATTAGCAAGAGAGAAACCTTCTATTTTTTATTTTTGTTTAATGTAAACATGTGATTAAATGGATTAAGACAGTTCTGAGAGTTTATAACAGCGGATTCAACAGTTGAGTGAGCGCTCACTATTGGTGTATTCTTTTAGATCATCCAATCGGTATTTTAGATTTGTAAGAATACATTAATAGCGGCGAGCGCTCACTCAACTTTTGAGTCCACTGAACGCAGCCATTGAGCGCTTAATGAGCGGTCATATGTCGATATTCATAGTCGATTCTTATTTTAGGACTGTCTTAAGTAATGTCTTAAGTCGCTTGCGACCCTTTGATTGATTCATGTCGTTTTAAGACCTGTACTTAAAATGGTCTTAAATATAGTATAAGATCTGACTACAACCATAGTATTGATTTGTTCTCCACGCATTTAATTTTAATTGATTAATTTCTTAGGTCCAGTTTCACAATTCATAATTAACTTTTAAGAAGGTCATTGCTGCGTTTAACAGAGAAAGTAGTTTTGCAATCATTCTTAAATATTATTTATTTATACAGTTCCAATGAGAAACTATAGGCAAGATCAATCATATTAAAGAATTTTACAATTGCGAAACTGCTTTTTCTACTGAACGCAGCCATTATCTCTTTCCTATTTTAGAATTGGTAAAGTTGAATCTTGATTAAGAATTAACTGTATAAAACTGGGCCTTACGGCTTAAATCATAATCAGACTATGTATTGGAGATTGTGATTAAGATTGAGATTAAAATTGACTTTCTATCAATGAGAACAGGCTGAGATTAAGATTACAGATTGAAATATTGGGCTCCATTTATTTTTCCAATCTTCAAGCTCAATCTCAACCAATAAGCTTCCAGTATTTCAGTCACATGACTAATGTATTGTGTATATACAAAATAGTAAGTTATAAATGGTTATAAATGGTTATAAGAAGTACAAACAAAGCATAATTAAAACGTGTGAGAGCAATTAAATGCATATTCAAGAATTTTTATTATGTGTAATTCTAGCTGTCCGATGTTCTTACTAATCTCAATTTTAATTGCTGTTGGATACAATTCATTGTTGATTGAGCAATCAAATTTAATCTCAATCAATCTCAATTTCCAATGTATTGTCTGATCACAGCTTTAAGGTGCCTTTACATGCTGACACTCATTTTCGGTGTCAAAATAAGTTACGTGATGAAAATTGACGAATATCAAACGTCAATTTTAGTACTCATTTTTTATGTCCTGCTCGCTGTTTTTGATGAAATTAGACTTATTCGACACGCATGAAACGAAAGAATCTGACAAAAAGTGTCGCTTCGAACTGAAATATTAAGTGTTAAAGTTCATTCGGCTATTCAGGTTAGGAAATCACAGAGACAAAATGAGGTTTATAATTATACCGTTTCACATTACTTTCTACGCTAAGCGTCTCTCACCTCTCCCCTCCCCTTTTCCCATCCCCCTGCAACGGTGCGCACATCTTCTATAATTGTAGTTGTTGAAGTTAGAAAATTTATCGTATAGACAGTGAGGTGTATAGTGTTTATTTTTGCTCATAGCCACCCCGAACAAAAAAAAATAACATGTCTTACCCGCTTGGGGCCTAACTACCTTGAAGTTGCAACTTAGATAGTAAAAAGTCCGTCTAAAAAGACTAAAACTGTTTTCACATCCCACTATCTTCATGGAATAGAAATATTCCAAGTTGACATTGTCTACGCTGCAACTTCTAAGCGGTTAGACCCCAAGCGGGTAAGATATATAATTTTTTTCATCCATAATGGCGTAGTCGCGAACAATAAGCATTACTCTATACACCTCATTGTTTACATGACAAATTTTCTAATCTCAACAACAACAGTACAATTATAGAAGTCGTGCTCCCCTTTCCAGGCAGGAGGGAGGATGAGAGTCGCTTCGCGTAGAAAGTCGAAACCCATATGAAACAGTTCAATTATAGACCTCATTTTGTCTCTGTGACAGATTTCCTAACCTCAATAATTATCGACTTTAACGCTTAATATCTCGATTTAGGGCAGAGCGTTTTTTTTTGCCAGATTCTTTCGTCTTATGCAAAAACACATCGCCTAATTTCATCAAAATCAGGCAAGCAAGACACAATTCTTGAGTATTACCTCAATTTTTATCACGTTTTTTGTTGCCGAAAATGAGCGTTGGCATGAAAAGGCACCTTTAAGGCTTAAAACATCTATTGTAGATCCGAACTAACAGACCTGAATTTTACATAAAAAGCGATGAATTGATTGGCTACCGCTTAGGAGCAAGTGATAGGTTATGTGACTGTTTTCCTGTTTTTCCGAGTCGGGTAAATCAATAAGTGAGAACCAATCCCATTCGATTGCTTTTGATCTGCTCAGAGTGCTCAGTGAACATTAGGTGGTAGTACTAGATATGTTCGCTTTTGCGGTTCCCGCGAAGTTTCGCATAACCTCTTTTCTTCGCTTTTCGCGAGTGTTCCACACCCCTATCGCTTAGGTTAGCAACATATATCATTGTTAACATCTACTCTCGACGATTATCAAAACCTGACGCGTGATAAAAACGTATCTATCTCTTACTGAATAATGAAAACTTTAGATAACGAAGAGATTCGTAGATTTGTGTGTGATTTGGCAGTTTTTTCTTCTCATTAGCGACGTGTACTAAGTGTGCGAACGAACGTTCCCTTTGTGAATGCATGCGAAGAGAACGAACAATGAATACAACTGCGAGATTCGCGCGAATATTGTGATTGGCGCGAAAATTGCGAAAAATTGACAGACACGATAAATTTTTTTGTTGTCTCATAGATCTTGCGTTATTCCCTTGAAAGAAAAATAAGATACATGAGACAGATTAATCTTACATGATCCGCAAGTTCACGTCTGTGTTAAGTGATAATCTCACATAGTGTAGTGTCATTCATTCTTCAAAATACTTTTAAACGGCCAATCACCAAATGTCAAAGAACAAACTCAACTTAACATTACCACCTGGCTCAATAGAACCGGTACCAGAAGCATCTCCTTCACCGCCGGTTCCGCCTGCATATCCGGAACCTCCGGAAATGCCTGAGTAAGTCCGGGAACAACGAGATATTTTATTATTTTCATGTAATAATGCGTATTTGTGTGTGTGTGTGTGTGTGTGTGTGTGTGTGTGTGTGTGTGTGTGTGTGTGTGTGTGGGTTTATCCACATTAATATATATTCGTATACACTCTTAATATATACAATGCAGTGCAAGCTGTTTATATATATTTGTATATTACTTACATTCAGTAGAGAAAATTAATTAATCAGTTAATGCTTGGTGATTCTTCAATATAATTGATTTCTACATTTAGAGCCAGTCAACTATAGGCAAGAATCAATATTAAAGAATCATTAATTTTTTTCTGCTGAATGTAGCCGATGTATATTGTATATATTAACAATATACAATGTTCCTATCTCACTACAGAACTTTGATGTAAAAATTGTAGAACACTTATGTTGAATCTACAATAAATAGGTAATTGAAAATTTTAAGTCTTGATCTAAACAGGTGACTATAACTTTACATCTATGATTTGTTATTTGTACAGCGAATTGTTTAGCATTCAGCTCGATTAATGGGAAGGAATAAAATCGAATTTGGTCAGTCTTAAGAAAATCGGTGGTCTTATGTCTATTTCCATCAATGTAAATTAACTTTAATCTCGATTCAACTTACTCTCTGTCTTTTTCTAATCTTTAAAACTAAAAAAAGACGAAGAGTAAGTTAAACTGAGATTAAAGTTTATCTACAATACATTGATGGAAATGGACATTAGTCGTACAGGTTGGCTATTCATCGATTCACTGATAAAACTAATTCTACAATGAGTCGGTAGTCGGTAGTCCTAAGCTGATTCTATAATGAGGCAACAATTGCTAGTTCTAAGTCTTATCGGTGAATCGGTGAAGTTGGCCAACAGCCAACTTACACAACTGAGACTACCAATTTTCTTAAGACTGACCAAATTCGATTTTATTCGATTTTATTCTTTTTCATTAGGCTAAACGCCTCGCTGCACAACTAAGAACTAGTAGCTGCGAAAAATCATAGTCACCTATTTAGGTTTAAACTTAAGACTTCCAACTCATTGTAGAATCAGCTTAAGACTTAGGACTAACAATTGTTGCCTCATTATAGAATCAGCTTTATACGAGGTACTTTAAACAAGCTCTATGTACTCTATGCTGTGACAAAACATCTATGACTTAAAGATCTCAACCTTAATTCATTTCTGATTAATTGAAATAATTGCGAAATTTTCATAAACTAATTCTTATGAGCTTATTTAAGTTTGAAAGATTTCTGTCGTTTTGAAATTATTATCTGAAAGTTTGTCATCATATAATTCTAATATTATATTTTTCGCAGCGGCATGAGGGACACATTGAATATTGATACTCTTCAAGCAAGATTAGAAGATCTAGAAATGGATGAGGAACAAAAGAAACGACTAGAGAGCTTTCTGGGACAAAAAGAAAAAGTTGGAGAATTATGCGGCGAGGATTTTGAAAAGTTAGGTGAATTAGGTTCGGGTAATGGTGGCGTTGTTACA